TTGGGTGACTGTCAGAAAGTCGTCCAAAATGGAGGAAAACGGAGGGCGTAGTGTCATGGGACGTCTTCCGAGAAAGTCGATGGAGGCACTTGCGCCGTATGTTTTCATAGACGTATTGCTGTCCAACAGAACACGGTGTCTCACATCAACCACAAGCGGAAAGGCAAAAAGGAAATCAACTCCGAGACTAGGGTAATCGATAATCATACAAAGCAAACGAGAGTGGACGGTATAGCAAGGGTGAGAAAAAATCGAAACAGTAAAAAGTCCGATCCGAGGCGTAAAAATCAAAACAAGCCCTATACTCCCTTCATATTTATGTTCTTTTTCACTATTTTTTGGAGTTTGCTGCTCGGAGATAGCAACCAAAGTCTATGGTTTTTTGGACCGAGTCGACTCCAAATCAACGCCAAGGTGTCTATGATGCATATTGATCTCAGTTACAACGAGTTTTGAATTTTAATGCTGTCGCAGGAAATGGACGCAGAACCTCTGTCCACGTATTCAAACCTTTTTTTGTAACCTTAGTCGTTTCGAGAAAATGAACATTTTCCCGACAATATTTCGGATTGATTTTCCCTACGATTTGCTCGGACGCATGACTCTGACGATGGTTGCGTCCTTATGGTTTTAAGGAGCAAGGAGTTTACACCGTCTTCGGTTTTGCATGTTTTCGGTTTTTCCGCTTTTAGGTATCTTGACATATCACACATCTTTGAATTGTCAACAAGAAACGTTTCTTCGATTTTTCTAATCGGTCTGCTTTCAATTCGGATGAAATGCGTTGTGGTTAAAACTCAGTCGTCCTTGATTGAGAGTGAAGCAGTTTAGGGAACGCATCCGAGAAGTGACAGCACGAAATCGGAACTGAAAGCTCTTAGTGTTTTGTGCGGCTGTCTTGATCAGTGTTTCCGCTTATCCTCAATAACCATTGGAAAGAGGCATCATTTACTTCAACATTTTTGCTTCACTCTCAAGTGGCACTTTTGTAGACTGTAGCCTACACAGACGCCATCTTAAACCAGAGTCTTGTTTGCGATCACATTCTGCACGAGATTCCGGGAAACGCCAGAACGTTTAGCCATAAAGGTTTGTGTTGTCCTGGGTTCGGAGGCTATCTTCGGAATCTCTGCCTTCTCACTTGTTGATAGTTTTCTGCTCACGCTCTCACATTGGGAATTCTCACTGACTTACTTAAGAATGAACCCAGAATCGTCTCACGTCTTGAGTGGCAGCCAATAGACTGTAGGGGTGTTAATTAATTCGGAAAACTGTTTTGTGCTGTATGGCTTTTGTAAGCTCATGTGCTCACATTCCAGTCAAACATTCGCTCAAAAAAACTGTCTTGTTCAGATTTCATGTTATACATAAAGGAGGATGAAAAGAATTGAAGTTTATGCATTGATATTAAGGCACTATTCAATCATCACTCCGTGTTTGTCAGTTTATTGTCATCCATTGGAATAAAGTCAGCTCTTGAAAAAGAACCGTTGTTCATTGTCAAATTGCTCGTCAGTTGCGAGAAAGGCTATGTATGTGATAACGTCTCGCATTATTTCTGCTGTGGTGGTCAACTGTGTAAAAGGTTCTCCTTATTTCAAAAGGTCCAGATAGAGTACCGTTTACTTCATTATCCGTGCACAAGCTAATAGTTAACTAGATGTATTCAAGTCTGTGAAATGTCGCACCCCTCGTTCACGGGGAAAAGTGCTACTTTGCAAGGAACTGCTACATTCCAAATTTGGGATATTTTGACACTACTGGCATATTAGAAATAGCAATTTCCTGATGTTCCTATTAACGTAGTCGTACACCGATATCATTTTATTATTATGGTTACACTGGCTTGAGCACATTTTACGGTGCTTTTCATCTATCGAGAGAAAAGTGCATATAGGTTCTACATGTCAAAACGGATTAACAGTTCAGATAAGACTTCATCCTTTTCTTCTAAAACACGAGTAAGTTACGAAACTATGGGAGTTCTGTACAACGATAACTTTGAAAGAATTAGTTGGAACGTGGGACGGGTTTGGAGATGGGATTGGCTAAGAGAAAGGGCGCTATGTGTGTGAACAGTCAGTACCGATCTTTTCAGCAAGTACAACAGATGCCTTTTGTGCTCATCGCACTGGTCCGATTTATTTTTGCACATTTTACGTTTTTCGCCGTCTGCATGCACTCAGCGCCTTTTAATTTTTTTATCACTAGCTTGCACATGAGTGCAGTGAAAAAGCGATACACCCTATAGCTACAAAGGTTCACTGCACTATTGGGAATAACTGATTAACAAACCCTAAAACTTGGAGTGGAGAACCACATAAGGTCCTAAAAGATCAGGTGTGGAAATGAACCGAACGAGCGTGGGGATTACTATCTACCACCAAAAGTAACCAATGATGGCGGGGATTCAAATCTCTGACCTCCGAGATGGTAATCAAACGCTCTAAACAACTCGACCACCACCGATACAGTTCATTTGAAATACACTATAGTTGGGGCTCAGTCTTCTTTGGCTGGGAGGCAAGTAACTGAAGGAACGCGTCTGATTACCGATCGATGATTTGGTCATTGTAGCCCACAACACATGTAAGGGCCGTGTGTGTCCTCTTTAAATGGCTGTTATCCATTTCGCCTAGGCACCTACCACCTGAACCAGCCTGGTCCTATTCTCGTGCAAAAACAGGCTTATGCACTTATGTATAAACAACTCAGGTAAAGTAAACGAATTGCTAATGTCCATTGAAATAATTCCGCTTATTCTCGATAAAGAGACAGTTCAACTGAATTGTCTCGATGTTACTTAGTATGGCTGCGATCGAGAACGGATGATTTTTGTTGTCCCACTGGCGTGTACCCAATCAATAACTCCATCAAAATCGATACTCAACCCCGTTGCATTTGGTTACTGATCCTATCTTATGCATACGTGCGTACGCGCATAGTCACTTAGTTTTCAATCAAGGCCCGTCCGCTCCGTGGCCCTTGTGACCGTCAGACCACTAGGTGACAGATGAATTGCACTCCGATGCCGATTGCAGCTGAACACAGTCTGTGGTTCTTCTCAGCTGTCCACGACTCTAAGCATTTTATCTAACTTCTTTACCTAATTGGACGCCCCCTGAATTGGTCAGTCTAATAGGTTTTCTTTCGGCCAACCACTTGTGAGAACATCCTTCGCCAATCGGGTGCTATATTTTAGAGATCTGTTCCTATAATGTCTCCATGTGGCCGGTTTGGTCAAAATCGGGAACATTTTATGTACTGCGATTTTTTGTGGGTGTCGCTTTTAAAGATTGAAAACCAATTGAAAACATGGGTTTGGAATCGGGTTTCACAATTTTAAGAGCATTTGGCATATTGTTACTTTCTGAGGGTGGCATTTTTATATGCCCTCAGTTTCTGACATGATGAGGCTAGTTTAGTCTCTAATCCCGGATATGCTTATCGACAAAAGACGGGAAAATAGCGATTGAGCGCAATAGTTACAAGATTTCATTTTACTAGTCATCAACAGAAGGTCGTGTCTGGACAAGCTTCAAACGTTTCCAGCCTATGCGATGGAGGCAGTGACAGTAGTCGCGCGATCTTGCATGTGGTTCCAACGAGATGGATCACCCGCTCATGATGCACTAATCTCGGTGTGTAAACTTCAGTTCGCTCCATTGTGTTTTGTGTATCAGAAGGAGCTGAATAGGATGGCATTTTGAGGGAATATTTTTGACTACGACAAATGTTTTTCAGTGTATTCACGAGTTCCAACTAGTTTAACGGATTAAGTCCTAACTCATTTTGTATAAGGTTAATAATTTACGTCCGTTCATTGTAATTCCAAGCATCGGTTGTATAAATTTCAGGCGGTTTCACCTAGGTCATTGTGGAGAGTAAATGAAACTATTACCCATCCGGATATTGTCTGTTGAAAGTCATTCCGCCTATTCTCTATAACTGAATTCCCCCACTCTTGCTTAGCTTCCCTGCGGTCGAGGGCGACCGATTTTGTTTTTCCCGGTGACGTGTTTTCAATCAACAACTTTAGCAAAATCGATGCTCAGCCATACTGTATTTCACCACTGATCCTAGCTTGTGCACACGTGCTCACGCACACAGACACACTCACTCAATTTTCATTCAAGGGCTGTCTACTCTGTTCACTTTGTGCACATCAGACCTTTAGGTAACAGATGAACTGAAATCCGATGCCAGTTGCAGCTGAGCACGTAGTCTGTGGTTCTTCTCAGTTGCCCACGGCCCCAAGCATTTTACTTGATTTGTTTACAGCGTGTGAGCAGTGACCTTTCGTGCGGTAATTAGGCGATAGACTGTAGACTTGTAGACCGAATTGGTTGGCCCAGTAGATGACTTTTTTTAACCAATCACATGTGACATATGGTGTTGCTGGTGATCGCTATCAGTGGTTGATTTCTACGCTTTCCTTTGTTTACAGTTTCCGCTCCCACATTCTTTCTGTTTTTTAATTTTCCTATGAGCTTTGCCTAGTTAATAACTAGAGCCACCGGATCCGGTCGAAAGTTGAACCAAAGGATTCTTTTCTGAATTAGAAATTATGTAATGCTGCCTGACCAACTGATACCACCTATTGCTGTTACTTGACCAGCTAACGTGAATGGCCTGCATTGATGAATCTTCAGAGGATGACGGGAATCGTAATATTTGATTGCTGGGGTAGTTTAGACCTCGGTAAAGGATTTTGTATCGCATTTATGGAATCTTGCTTTCAAGTTAGTTTTTGTATCAAACTTATCTCGTGAAGTTTTTTCTTGAAGCAATTTGTATCCAGCCATATCACCCGTTTGTATCCCATTGACTGTTGTCAGAAACAGCTGTGGTTATGAACAAAGGATACGGCAATTAAGGGAAAAACATTCTCAATTCAACTTCCCCTCAACGTTCCAGTTTTTCTTGTCTCAGCTTGGTCGACTACACGTGACAGTCATACGCTCTTCCCTTTTGTTGCACTTTTCTCACCTGTTTTACAGGTCATTGGTCTTGTACGCTCCCATGTGAATCAGGCATGTATTTTCCCGATAGGAATTGGCTGTGGTGCGAGCACATATTTGGTCAACGGAATCGCGCGTGCTGGTCGTGGTGTGTCCACATTTATTCGGCAACCGTGAGTTCTTTTAACTTTGTGAGCATGGCAAAGCAAAATTCGATCCAATTCATGCCATCCGTACTCTATGTTTTAGCTTATTGTCGCTTCTGCTTTCATTATATGGGGTACAAACAGTTTTTGCAGTGAACGAATCCGCCAGTCACACATTAGTTTCACCGGGATTTGATTCACGTCATGCTGTCCGTTTCCTCCACAATCGTTTTTGCCGCATACTGATTCATATGTCAGTATTCAATTTCCTACATTGCATTATAATTTACTTTAGCAATGGAAACATGGATGTTATCAGGTCTGATTTCAAAACCCACTCTTTCGAATTTCTGCGAATCGTATGAACGCTCTAGCACTAACCGGTTCAGAGTCAGAAAAAGATTTCTGGACAAATGCTAACTGGTGCTGTTATGTAAATTTAATCTGCGATAGCTTCCACATCGAGGTATTCGAGTTGCTCGTAACTACCGAAATAATCTTGTGAAATAATCGGGACAGACTGGGAACAAATTCGTGGTACAGTAAAAGTAATAGCAAATCTGGTTACCTGCCACGAAGAGATCGTGTGAATTGTCTGATATTGTAACTTGAGTGATTATAGTTCAAGAACCGTGTAGAAAAGAAGAAACTTCAATGAATGTGAGACAAAATATTTAAACTCAGATTACCTTTCAATTCAGTTCATCTAATAAATGGCGATGTAATTAAGTGCTGCAGTTTTGGCTGCTACCTCACAGTACCATCCAGTCGGTAGTGAAATACACTGAATCATCGCAAATAAATAGCAAGGGAAAGTGTAAGTGGAAATTATGGGGACAGACAGAGCTTGAACGATAGCATGCTACTGACCGCGGCACTTAGTACCCAGCACCCTACGCCTGGCCTCATCTTTGCTGATGCAGTGTTCCACGATATTTGATCAGTCCTGAAAGCTCATCAGCGCCAAATCAGCGTGTTGATCGGCGGGTCAATTGCAATTAACAGTGTCAACAGACGGCCTGGTTCGTTTGGTAGACAGAACGATGGTTTGGCGAGCAGCCAGCACGTGTTCGCTTGTCCTGAGTCGAGGACAGGATTCGAGCGAACGAAGGGGATCATAGAACTAATCAAGTGCCAGCTGTCTTCCGAACCGAATCAACCAACTGGGTTTGTTACCGGAATAATCACTGAGAAGAGCTGACCGTGAATAACAGATGGACCAAGCAGTTTGAGGCCAGGATTTGGCTTTGATCACCATGCATTGCATGTAAACTGTCATCTTTGCACTAATAAACTGAGATGGTTCGAAGCCAGAAATGGCTTCTCACTGAAGCTAGTGGGACAATACAAAACAACACTGAACGCCCCAATTCACTTAGATTATTTAGACACAAACTGCAATTGGTGTTAACACGCCACACACAGAACACAAATCACAGGGCACAATAAACAGGAAACACAAATTATGCCCAACACCTACGGCTTCGCAAGGTAACAACATACTTGATCCACACTAAGACAGTACCACCTGGGTCGGGCATTCTCGATCCGTAATAGCATAACAAAATGGCCCTCGGTTGGGTAACAACTCGGACACAGCGTGAAGTTCGATAAGATTCGCTCACTCGCTAGCCAGAGTGAAACTGGACACATAACTGAGTGATGCATTTATTTGCTGCGAACAACACAAGCCAAAGTTACCAGCCTTACCGCTTATATAGTCCTTACTAACAACCTTGCGGAAACCTAAATTGACTAATGAGAAATGCAAGCATACAGTGGAGGAAAATAGGAAAATATACAACGGTCACATAGTGTATGCGGAAAGCTAAGGTCGAATACATGCTTACGGCGATCTTCCACCGAGTTTATCACGAGAATTGTTCTTCAGGCTTGCCGTATATCGTCCTTCCTTTTTCGGTTTTATAGTTGAAATGGTTCTTGTGTTAACCCCATCCTCAGTTTTGTTACCTGGACAGTCATATCTCATCAGTTGGTTAGATATAGGATGAGGTGTTATCGCGCAAACAGGAGGTGCAATTGACTTTTTCCAACCTCAGCCATCTGTGGCGGCGGCGTGATATCGGATTGTCTGTCAAGGGTCGGGTATGCACTGCCTCAGTTAAATCCGTTCTTTTACGTAACTGAGAAACATGGCCGTAAAGTGATGTGGTTAGGTGTCGCGGCCAGTGGCGCGTTTAAATTTACTTTCGTTTTTTTTTCGTGATTTCTGTTTATTCCTTTTTTTCCGGCTCCTTCTCACTTTATGCTTCTATTATTTTTACCCTTGAGTGGATAACGCTTCGAGGTCGCAACCAAACCAGAGTACGGGATTACGAGTTAATTTGTTGAATGAACTGAACTGAACCCGGCTAGTGACGGCCTTAACGATCTCAGTTCCCTTACGCTTCGTGACTGTAGGTAGTGCTATAGCACGTGTGCGGTGGGCCATATGTATCTGTTTCACTCAACATCGGTCTGGATTAATGTACGATATTTACTCTACAGGACCATTAGAGGTAGTTCTTGGGAATCATTGTGTTGGGTGCTGTAAGCTGAGGCACCTTAGTGGTTGAAAGTGGTACTGTCATACAAGAATCATGGTTGCACCTCGGTTCCCTAATGCCGTCGACACGTTGAGCCAGGATGAAAAATACTGTATTGGTTCTGATTTGGTTTTGTCTGCACTTTGGTTCACCAAACTTGTTCGGACAAACGAAAACGGATCAGTCGCGCAAAACTGCCGTGCATCTTTTACTTTAAGTTCATTCTTGTTCATAATGGAGAACTGTTTTGTGGGTGGAAGAGTTTTTTGTTAGTTCGTTCATCTAGATCTCCAATTTATATGAATGCGGGATTGCAAGTTCGTTCGGCTCAGCTGATGAATTTGTAGTATGCTTTTGAAGTGCATGATTGTAACGGTCACGGTTTATGCAATACAAACAGGAAAGTTAGGTGGCTGTCTACGAACTACATATCGGGTAAAGAAACGGTTATGGAGGGAAATTTCGAAGACCCGTGAATAATGAGGGATAAATGCCTTGTTGATTTGTACACTCGAGTGAAAAGGCCAACAAAAGTTGTTGAGTGCTATAACAAAATAATTTTCAAGGTTCATTTTTGCGAGAAAAAGTGAAGCACACTTGAGTTGATGAGATACTTGAGTACGTATAGAATTGTTCCGCGTGAGGCCGATTCAAAGGTTATTGACAGTGTTTTGTGAACACACCATGTTCTGATCCGTCGCAGTAACACTTATAACATGACTTTCCTGCCTTCAAACTATTTCGATTTATTTGTACAAAAACGACGGTTTATATAAAATGCATTATGGTCATAGCTAAATGCTGATCCGCACCCTTGTTGGTTCACCTGTTCCTCACGGCCAACTCTTCTGATTGGGTAGCCTTTTAACAAACCCAATTAATTGATTCGGTTCAAACGGCGGTCGGCATTTGATTGTCTTTCGGTACTCTTCGATCGCTCGAATTTTGTTTTCAACTTAGGACAGGTGAACGCGCGCTGGCTGCTCGCCAAACCACCACGCTGTTTACTAAACGAATCAAGTCGTCTATCAGCAGTGTGTGGGCCCATTCTGTCACACACTCTAGGTCTAAATGTATTGATTCGGTCCACCCTATAACATGAATACACTGGCGTAAAGGTGCACTGTGAGAGATTAGACTTTCTCATTTGTAGTATACGGATAGCATCGTCTTGCTGGGTGGCAATTCTAAGCCCACACAATGCGCTTCTTACCTAGCGTTTGGTGTGTCGAAGTATGGCGTACATCTGAATTCATCCAGGTATGAAGTCTTTGCACATGACTGGCAAAATAATGAGCCTACAGTCTGTCGTTTTGTTGACCAGTCAGAAATATGCTATCGTTCTAATTATCTGGGGAGCTTATATATATATATATATATATATATATATATATATATATATATATATATATATATAATCAGACTAAACAGCTGTGTGTATTTTTACTGTGTGATAGGTGACGTGCTTTCTGACGGATATCAGTGAAGTGACTGGACTAGCTTGCCAAAATGTTCATGTGCGGAGAATGACTGTTCTACCTTCCCCGACTGGCCTTCATGTTGCTCCTTGTAATAATGTGTTTGATGGTCGATGCTGCGAATGATTATCTCGCTCACTTCTACTTGCCCCATTTATGAAGACGTACCGTTGTGATTGTCATTGATGAAATGCTCGTTTAGCACGTCCTTTTTCATCGTGCTTAACAACATGAACTGCCTACGTTTCCAGTCTATTCCTGTAACCTTTGTTTATGGTAATGTTTTGTGGTCGGTGGGTGGTGATCAACTCCACATTTGTACGTGATCTGGCGCAATTTGAGCTGTTTGATAGAATACCAGTAAGTAATTGCCTGGGTGCGGTCCAGCTATATAATTCCGTGCGCGTCAGCACTCATGATTCTCTAGTCTGTGTTTTTGTTTTATGTGTCGGTTTTCGGCTGGAGGCTTCTCTTACCAATGTTGTAAAATCAGTTTGCCTTATGACAGTTGATAATCTCACATCCTCCGTGAAAGTCTAAACTTCATCCATATATCGTGCCAAACGAACTAGTTATGTAGCTTCGATTATGTTTCATTTCTCCCACAGTCAAGAATTGCGTGCTGCAACCATGAGTGTTCTGAATGCCGCGTTACAACCACGTGCTTCAAACGTCCACATTCAATGGGACCTTAAGTCTTCGGATGCATCGGGTCGTTTGGTTCCATTGGATATAGTATCTATTCCACAGCGTGTACCGCCAATTTTCAATGGACGCTTTGCCACAATCTTTGGCTTGTTGGACTACAGTAAGGTTTACTCCTGAACGTTAAGTCGATCGGCTCCTCGTTTACATTGTGTATTTATGCGTTGTGCGCTTGAGTATCTCTACCGAATTCACGTTGGGAATAAACTCTACATGAGTGTTATTCTGTTTTTCATGAGTTAAAACAACTAGGTAATCAACTTTTCCATAGTCAGAAGTGCTTATGAAAGTCGATAGTCAGTAACAAACCCCGGTTGATACGTAACATCGATTTTTGTCCTTCTGTGAAGCCGTAGTGGATCGATCAAATTTTTTTGTGCACAAAGGGTCATTGGTTTGAATTTAAGGATAAGGCACGAACTTTTAATGCATTGTTCACTCCTAGCCCCCTCCAGCTTATTCTTCCTAATGCTGTACTGCAAGGCTTATTTAATGTTATGTGATTCATCCAGCTACACGAAAGCTTTATTCACCGTTGTAGAATAATTGATAACACTGTATACCTGTTTCTTCTCTTACTCGGTATCATCAGAGGTTTACATCTAAATTCGAATAACCTTAAAGCTTAAGTTTTAATTACCACATTCAGTGCACATTTCTCGCAGTGGGGCCATGTTCTGCTGCAATATTCTCAATCAGTGACATTGGCAACATCGGCACCGCCGAGCAAATTGTATCATCGCACCCTTTTTTCATTTCGCGCATCCACAAATGGTGGTTTCTCGAAATTAGTTTAAGACAGTTATCAGTGATTAAGGCATGCAGAATGGATTAAGGAATAGCAGTGCTGTGTCGCCATAGATTTTCAGTGATGAGCGTAGCGTCGATGTTGCATGTGTTGCTGTGGCTAAGTCTAATTAAATGGAAGAAAAAGAAAGGAGAAAGCGCACTTTTCTAATACGTTTAATTCTACAATGCTTGTGGGTGTACAATATCTTTTGTTGTCCCATTGTCTGTACATATATAGAGATTGGTGTGCCGACTTCAAAGCACGCAGCATATAGTTGTTCATGTGAGAAACACCCCGTATCTGGATCTAAACCACAAAATTCTAAAGGTTAGCCCTGAGCTTTGTTGATGCTGACTACAAAAGCCAGTCAAATTGGAAATACCAATCTCTTAAATTGAAACGGCATATCCGTTGGAATTATAGGAATGCGACGAAAGAGGACATAACCTTTGAAATGTCCTATCAAGATTTTTGATTCTACAACGTTGCTCATTGTTTTTTATTGCAAGCCGCTAGCAGTTACAAAGCTCTGGCTGGTTGGTATTTCGCAACGTGATAATTGACACTCCGATTTTCAGTTGGCATCCCTGGCAGATCGAGTGAATTCAAAAAATCCGTTGGATAATTCATCGCTTCATCTGCTTCGACAACAGTGTCGACGGACTTGTATGTGACTGCCTCGCTTTGATAGACTGAATACTATTGTTAAGTTCGTAGACGTCCTTGTTCTTGACCGCAAGAATAGCTCGTTCACTCAACCCATCATGATTCTTATAATCGTTTAGAAAATTGGGAGTTCGTAAATGGGAAACATTAGCATAGCGTGTGTTACTTTTACATCCAACGAATGGAGCTGTTTTTTGTTTTAAAAAAATGTTTCTACCTGTCGCAGGTGTGACATCTATGTAGTAGAAGCCGCACAGTCAATAGAATTGTGTTACTGGGACTACGGTACTGTAACTGATAAGCGTTATTGAATACATCATCATCATCGTCGTAGTGCGTTAAACAGTAGGGCAAGCCCCACTGACCCCTGCCTTTCTCACCATAATGCACGCTGAATCAGAAAGACTGAATATACAAGATGGACAGAGACTGGACCTACACGGGTGGGGAAAGGAAAGAATACCCTAGTAGCCAACACACCAAATACAGTCTTACTGTACAAACGCACACCGATCAGTCATTCTGATTCGATAGAAAGTGACAACACGATCGCCACTGCTTGCGGTTCGCAGTCATATCCTTCAGTGTCTCCAGCCAACTGGTAGACGGATCTTTGGACCCCAACCATGAAGACGTGAAGCACCTACTTTTCCTAAGTCTGCTGTACATTTTCTCATTTCTCGCTGCCACCTCATCTGTTGACTTCCCCGTGGTTTCTTCCACTCCCTAGGAGGAACGGAGAATAGGACACAGAAAAAACAACTAAGTCTCTGAGTGACGTGCAGATCAAATCGTGTGCCTGGAAGAATCTCTCAATGAGTTTAACCAGCGAATGTTTGTGTATGATTATGCGCGCGTGCGTCTATAATCATAGAGCCGAAAGCGGTCATCATGCGTGTGCGCGTGACGGCATGTGAGGAAACACATCATGGGAGCAGTATCCGGAATATATATATATATATATATATATATATATATATATATATATATATATATATATATATATATATATATATGATGCGCTGTTTGTGACTAAGCCAGGCGAGGAAGCTTTATCGGGGTAAGTTGTTGTCGCTGCACTGTTGAAAACACAACCGAGGAACGTGCAGTAGGCGTATATCAACACGCGCGTACTCAAATGAAACGTTGTATTGGAATTTTAAAGCGATCGGTGAAGAACTTTTGGAGATCTAAGATCTTGAACAAGCGAACAACCGCCATATATATATATATATATATATATATATATATATATATATATATATATATATATATATATATATATATATATATATATATATATATATATATGGCGGTTGCTGGTCCTTGGAAGGTAGAGCCGTTCTCTAGCAGCTATCGAGTGGTGAAGATTTAGTTTATTACATCCACGACCGGCGCGAAAGCAACCTTTCTCGTCGCTTTTGGCACAACCTATGATGTATGACGGACGCGAGCAGCTTTGGCGCTAGTGGGATAAGGCTAAGACCCCAATGGTTGACTTCCAGCCAGGATTGACTAGAGAATGCCGAGAAAAAGCAGAGATTCAACAGAAACCCAGGGTAATACGGCACGATGAGATAGACCACAACTTACCAGAATGGAATGGAAAGTATTCTTACCAAGCGACCAGTGCTGTGTAGTGTTAGGCGAAGCTCTATCTAGCTTCTAAGCTAGCGCGTTTTGGAAGAGGTATAGATAGGATGGTTGTGAGAGTTGATCACAATCCATGTTTCGTTGCAGCTTATGTGTAGACCATCTACCGAAGCACATGGACAGCCTAGTGCAAACTAGTACGCGGTCATAGTCAAAGAGGGTGCTGCAGTACGAGCGGCAGTCTTGTATGCAGCTGAGTTGAACTGACTTAAATATGACCCACTCTTTGTGGCTTATAACGATGTGGCCGATCTGAGTCCATAACTGACTCGCGAGGGTGGACGCCACGTGACGTATCGGTGGTTAGACCGTCTGAAGTTCGTATTTACGAAGAACGGGTGATGGTAAGAACACAGGGCTGAAAACTGTTCCCCATTATATTAGGGACTTAAATTTAACCGGAAAGGGCCTCCTAAATGCGCCTAGTTCGATGCAAGCCGACCCACTCTGATATTCATGTCTGTTGCTAAAATCATAAGACTACACGGGCTCGCTTTCCGTAGGAGGTCGTGTAGTTTTTGGTGGAAGGTATCTTTGACTGTAACTGGGCTGCGACCGTTGGATGCATACACCGAAACGACAAACAGATTGCGTTTATCAGTACGGTGACTAGTCACTTTGCCCGAGCATCTAAGTCTTACTGTTCATAACCGATTATCGACTAGGATCCGTTCTAGTAGCGCCGCCTCAGTACTTTCCTCGAGAACTATGTCAACGCCAACGAGGTCAGAAGCCATAGTCCTAGGATCCGGAGGACGTCGTAAGTGAAACTTCATTGGAGAATTTGATGGAAGTATCAATCTAGTGACGGTACTGGGTTATCGAATGCGATTCCCTTGGATGTAATCTATATTGGTGGGAAGGGTTTAAAGCGTACGAGATAAAGCCACTTGCTGTCTTGCGCATCAGGGTTGGCAGGTTGATCGTGGCCTGAATGAATGAACATTGAAGACGAAAGTGGGCCTCAGCCAGTGATAGTAGGTTCGGTGAAACTTCAAAACTAGTCGAAGAAGGCCAGAATTCTCACTAGAAAGATTACATCTAGTGCGGGCGACCGAAGTTCCCGTTGTGTGTGAAAAAGAAATATGATATATGAAATAATGCGAGGGGCTGGGAAAACAAGCTGCGTGCGATGTACAGTCACTCAGTGTGGTGGCGTGTGCGTACTACCTACTGAACAAGTAGTTCGTTCCTCAAAACACAATCATGGACAATTGTGGACTGACAATAAACGCGGCTACATCATTCGGACCGACTGCATTAGAGTGAAGGAGGGCATTCGAACCACGTGACTGCGTCCTCCGACTGAATAGCGGCCGTTTTCAAGTGGACCGGACAGCTATTATGCAAATAAACATTATTGTGATGGTTGATTGTTTCTGTCGATGTCCGAACGAGCGATTTCCTCTAAGCGACCTTTCTACCCGGGACGTCTTGTGGATTATAACATCTGTAGTAGGATCTCTCCTGGTCGTTGGCGCTGTGGACTATTGCACCATCGTCCGGTCAAAAGTAGGCCTTTGTATTCTAGGATACACATGTATGCTTTATGCGGCTTAGTGCATCCTGCAAGGCAGCAGCGTTGGTCTAGATGAGCCACTTTCCGATTGTTCGGTCCATTTTCTTCTTCTGGGAAGCCTTATCGAGTAAGTAGAACACAATTGTAAGCTATAGCCTTACTTTAGTGGCGGACCACACTCGTCTCGTCACAGTGCTTTCAGCAGATTGCCCTGACATTTTAGGGTGGAAAACGCTAGTCGAGCTGAAATTCCATCACATCCTGGTGCACTACCGCATATTTGGCGAGTCCACCTTATTCTCGGTTTCCCGCGAAAATCGCGGCCGTTCCCCTATCAGCGATCTGGGGACAAGCTCGGTAGCAAACAGCGCCGTTCTTCTGGGCATAGAATGTTGACGTGATGCGAACCGTTTAGAGCCAGTCTAGTGGGCCCGATGGTAACTCATCCATACACTCCGGATTATGGCAGCAGCCGAGATTCGGTGGATGTATGCTGCTGCTGATTCCCATCAATTTGAATAGAACAGCTATGCAGTGAATGAGCTTTTATGTGTTTGCCGTTGTTGTTTGACCGTTGACGCTGTGTTGAATCACTCTGCCACATTTGAAATCTCTTACCACCAGAGCTGAATAGAAAAAATAAAGTTAGTGTGAATACAGACAGTCGTTCAAGAATAAAAGATGTGGAGAAAATTCGGCGCGCAATTGACTTCAACTTACTGTGCCCCTGTTAGGCTTCATTCAGGATATATATATTCGATGTCTATGCACGTTAGCATACTCGCAGTCTTATTTCGCTAACGTTTTTTCCCGTGTTGTTCTCTTGCCCAACATTCCGCCATGTTTTTTCTCTCAGATCACGAGCATACCCTTTCCGGTCATATCACTTTGGAGTGCGAGGTGATGAACAAAAAACAGACATCCGCTGTGAACATGGCTGATGTGATATCGGCACAACGAGTCCTGAAGGAGAATATTGACCTGCCATTACATCGGCTGGCAGGGAAAGTACAGTTGAATGAACTCAGTGACCAGCACAAAGCGATCCAGATTCAAGGAAAAGAGAGAGATAACAAAGATATTGAGAAGGACACTGAATGCGGAGAGTTTCGGAAGAAAATAGAACAGTTATCTAGTGCCTTGAATGTGATCTCACCGTTTACAGCGTTTGTTGGTGTTGATCCGGTGAAGCGTGGTAAGTTGAACGTTTTTCAATTTTATCAACTCGGCTTCAAATTAGTATACTTCAGACTCGATATCCCGAAAGTTTCATGATTTGCGGAAACAAATATAATTACAGCTCCTAATTTTTGGTACTATGTATTTTGTAGCTCCTGACAAACATTAAGTTTTCAGTGCTCACGGTTTTCAAATTTTATTTGCCATATTTTGCGAATGCATAAATAATCAAAAAGACGAGTTGTTGGAATCGGTGGGATTTGAACTCACGCACTGGTCTTCTCGCGTCTCAGTAACGCGTGTGCTCTGTGGACTGAGGTACGAAGCCAAACCGGGGGCCTTTCAGTTGTCCGAATCTTCTGAACTGTTTCCCTGTTATTACAATAAGCGAAAATCTGCCTGACGATACTTAGCGTGCGAAGCAAACTGGCGACGGGCTGGTTACAATGATGAACCTCAACCTTGACTGCCTGTTGAGTTAGTGAACAAACGATGTCCGGATATGATTTTCTTTAGTGTCGTTTGCCAGGTCATACTTAGTCTGACTACCACATCACGTCTTCCAACTGCAAGAGTGCTATAATTGCATGGCAAGGTAGACGATGGGCAGGCATACACGGAACACGACACCCTTTGGAGAGGCTGGTCGAAGAGACACTTAACTTCTTTTGAGTTTTTACCGCTAATTATTGGGTAGTCTAAAAACTCACGAATTTTATGTGAAATAGAGGTAAAACTTACCATTCAGCTACGATTGTTCCAAAAACGCATGGATGACTGCGTTATCCCAAAGTTGGCTGTCCGATGACAACCATATGATGGTTTCTTAAGGCGGTTGTATATTGCTATTTATGGGTAACGCTCATTGTCATAGCAAACCCATGACTTTATCGAATGTCAAATTGGCGTGACTGCCTTCGAAGTGTTCAGCGGTGTTACATCCAGTGGATCATGGTGTCATTTGGTCTTTGAAATAGTACATTAGAAAATATCTCCCGGAATATCTATCTTTACTGCTGGGAAACGAACAATCGCATATCGAATTTAACGTGAACGTTCTCATGGTAATGCACCTAATAAAAAAAGCTTGTATGTCTGTTCATCCAGATGTACTGATTCACTTCTTCATGGAAGCTGAATTCAAATTCATTTTGAGTGAGCCGATAATTTAGCCATCTGAAGATAAATAAAATTTGCTTGATGATTTCACCCATCGCGTAACTACTGATGACCGTTTTGTGGAAGGATAAATTGCGTGATAAAACTTAGATGATGATGGAGTGGGTTATCTAACAATATTGCCAATTTCTATTTTTAATTTTTCAGATGAATTTTTTACGAATCAGTCTAGGTGTCGCAACGAAGGATATGAATATGAGGCTTTGGATGAACTGAAGGCTATCTCAATCAGAGAGGCATAGAAGTTACTAAGTCAGTTTTAGATGTTTGCGTTAGCGAATTATCCAGTTTCTAGTTAGTTACTTGAGAGTACAGTTGTTCTATACAACGCGTTCGTTCATCTCCAATTGAGAGAAAAGCTGTAAAAAACGACGATTTATAATTTGTATTACAAACAAATCTTCGTAATTTACTTAGGATTTTCCAAAAACGTTGGTCCGTTGAATTCTCTCTCTCTCTCTCTCTCTCTCTCTCTCTATATATATATATATATATATATATATATATATATATATATATATATATATATATATATATATATATATATATATATATGTATATATATATAGGGAGAGAGAAGAAGCGTTGGTGACTTCCTTTGACTTGAATAGCTAGTGATTGGGCTATTCTTACCGAATTCCACGCTCTGTGTCCAATTTGTTACCCAGCCAGAACCATTTTGCCGTGCAGTTACTGATTTAGGACATGCGGCCCAAGTAGTGATGTCTCTGTGGTGATTAAGTGTGCCATTTCCCTGTTACACTGCAGGTATTGTGTGTTTGCTGTGCTGTTCTCCGTATTTTGTGTGGCATGGTAAACCCAATATAACTTTTCTCATTCTCGGTGAATGGAGACTTTTGGTGTCAACTGTGTGCAGTCTGATGTTTCAGTAATTAGCCAGTCGGAATACTTGAAGGCGGCAATTCGTTTTGGATATGCACTCTACTCAAGTCGGTTTGAATGCTACGGTCCTGTTGCTCCCATATCGAGCTGGTCGATACTCGCAACGATTCACTGTCGAATAGTATCGGGAATAATCCTCTATCTAGTAACTCACATTTCCTCAAGCCTCGTCAGCCTCTGAATCTCGGCTCCTTCAACGTGCGTACACTCATGCAGGCCGGTCAGCAGGCGTGCCTAGCCCTCACATTAGATTATCTGAAGATTGATGTCTGCTGCTTAAGTGAAACGCGTATCCAGGATTGGAACAGTGTAATTCAACTAACTGTTCCTGGTATCTCATCGAGATATTTCCTGCGCACCTCAGGAGACGAAGCAGCTAGAGCTGTGGGTCAACGTGATGTAGGAATTGTCTTGACTGAGAAGGCTGAGGCTGCCCTTTTAGACTGAATCCCTGTTAACAGTCGTTTATGTGCTGTGAGATTCCAAGGGTCAGTCGGCGTTCGAAAGGATAGTTGTGTTAAACGCAATTTGTTCGTGATCTCGGCGTACGCCCCAACGGACTGCAGCTCAGACTTGCAGAAAGATGAGTTCTATGATGCCCTCGCCACTCTCGTTCGCAGCAGTAAAGGTTCCGACATTGTAGTGCTAGCTGGTGACTTCAATGCACAAGTTGGCAAACTCAGTGTGTCAGAAGCCTGTTTAGGTGGGCGTTGTGCTTTACCTGCTGATTGTACAGATAACGGGGATAGGCTTGTCCAGTTTTGTGCAGACAACCGATTGTTCTTGTCTAGCACCAATTTCCGACACAGCTCGCGTCGCACAGCGACATGGCGCTCTAAATCTACAGGTACTGTGAGTCAGATTGATCATATTTCCGTAAGCTACCGGTGGCGCAGTTCTGTTCAGAACTGTAGATCTTACTGGTCTACGTACGTAAAGTCGGACCATACATTAGTTTTAATGCGATTATCTCTCCAACTCCATGGTCATCGTCGCAAGTCGCAAACCGGATTAGCCACGCAACGTTTGTGTGATCCAGAAGTACGCACCCGTTATGAGCAGAAGTTAGCAAATGAGCTAGGATCTACGACGAACAGTAATGTAGATGAGCATTGGTCTCATATCAAACAGGCGATGCACTTTGCAACAGGTTTTGCCTGTGGTCCTAAATCCGATGTCCATCAAAGACATTGGATCTCGCAAGAGTCGCTGAGTATAATGGAGCAAAAGCGTCAGCTCCCGAACCGTAATGAGATGAATAAGATGCGGAGAAAGCTGCAAAGACAAGTTACGAAAAGCCTTAAGAATGATCGCGAAAATTGTTGGGTCAAGATAGCCGAAGAAATGAAAATAACAGCTGCTTCAGGTAACAGTAACAGACTGTTCAAACTTATTCGTGACACAGGTGGACGACGTTACCAGATCAGTGAAATGATTTGTGATAGAAATGGAGAACCTATCCATAGCACATAGCAAAGGCTTGACCTTTGGGCCGAGTACTTCAAGGAACAGTTTAGCTGGCCGCATGCTAGAGCAGTTACTCCCGTGTCAACAACTGTGACTCCTTGGGTGGTATCACTTGAGCCCCCATCGGAAGTAGAAGTGGAGTCGTGCATTCGATAACTAAAGCGAGGGAAAGCGGCAGGTCTTGACGAACTTCCCCCAGTTCTTTTCAAACTGGGTGGTGAGGCGTTGATGAAATCACTTACCGCCTTGCTCCGTGATATTTGGAACGAGGAGCGTATTCCGTTAATGTGGAGTGAGTCATTGATTGTTCCCGTCTTCAAGAAGGGAATGCGCAATGACTGTGGTAATCATCGTGGAATTAGCCTAATTCCGATAGTCACCAAAGTATTAGCTTCGATTTTGTTGCATCGTCTTACACCGGTTCGCGAGCAGCAGGCAGGATTCCACCCAGGTCGAGGATGCATCGACCAGATTTTTACTATTCGCCGACTACTTGAAATTCGTTACAGACACCGCCGACCGACAATAATGGTTTTCTTAGACCTGAAAAGCGCCTTCGATTCATTTGATCAAACAGCGCTTTTCAGTGTTTTTCATCGAAAAGGTATGCCCCAGAAGTTCGTGAAACTACTGAGATCATTGTATTCTCATACTTCTGGCCGCGTTAGGGTTTACGGTGAACTATCCGGTCGGTTCGAAACGACCAGTGGTGTTCGACAGGGATGCCCTTTGTCTCCATTCCTGTTCAACTTCGTCATGGACGAAATAATGGAGAGTGCTTTGCAAAATCTTCAGGATGTAGGCGTCGAACTAGGAAATAATGGGAAGCTATATGACCTAGATTACGCAAACGACGTTGTCTGCTTGTTCGAATGCACGGAACATGCTCAGCGTGCACTAGATAATCTTGCAAGAGCTGTAGCTCCATTCGGCATGCCTTTTTCACCTTCAAAGTGCAAGGTGATGTTACAAGACTGGACGTCAACAATTCCGAGGTTGATGCTCGATGGGGAGGTGCTGCCAGTTGTCGACCACTTCACCTACCTCGGTAGCTGCGTGACGACGGATGGGAGCACAGTTGTAGAGGTGAGCAAGCGTATATCCAAGGCTCGAGCGGCGTACGCTGGACTGTAGCACTTGTGGCTTCGATTTGTTGTTTCACTGAAGTTGAAAGGTCGTGTATACTGTGCCGCAGTGCGTTCAGTTTTGTTGTATGGTTGCGAAACTTGGAGTCTGCGTGCTGAAGATATTCGTCGTTTTGAGGTTTTTGACCATCGGTGTTTACGTAATATCGCTAGGATTGGGTGGAATAGCCGAGTAAGCAACGATGAGGTGAGAAATCGAGTATTGGGCACTAATTCAGGGAACGTTCTGTCACAGCGTATCCGACTTAGTAGACTTCGTTGGTTGGGACACGTGTTACGTATGTCAAACACACGTCTACCATACCGTGTCCTATTCTCCGTT